TTTTTTTTTTTTTTTTTTTTTTGGTTTTTTGAGAGAGGGTTTCTCTGTGTAGTCCTGGCTGTCCTGGAACTCTGTAGACCAGGCCAGCATTGAACTCAAGAAATCCACCTGGCTCTGCTTCCCAAGTGCTGGGATTAAAGGCGTGCGCCACCACCGCCCGGCTCTTTCTTCTTCTTAAAGATTCATTTCATTTTAATTATGCATACGAATGTGTCTCTGTGCCTGAGGAAGACTCTAGACATTAGCTCCCCCTGGAGCTGGAGTCACAGGTCGTTTTGAGCTACCTCACGGTGGGTACTGGGATTAGACTTGAGTCCTCTGGTCCACACACTTAGCAAATCCCGATGGCCCGCCCCCTCAGACCATCCTCTCCCCGCTGCCCCTCACCTCTGCAGGAACTCTGCCAGCCCTCCCAGGCAGCAATAGGCCATTCTCTCCACGAACTCCTGACTGATGTGCGGTGCTCTCTCTGTATGCTCTTCTAGCAGCTGTGTGAACCAGGAGGAGGAAAGGAGACACGTTGTGGGTCGCCTTCCTCACCTCAGGGCCTGGGCAAGCCTATCTTCATCCTCTCACCTCACAGACATCCTGGGCCAGGTTGCTGGGTCTGTAGTCCATGCTGCCCCACTGTTCCTCATCTTCCTGCAACACTCGAAGAAGGGCTGCTCTGGTCTGAGCCTGCAACAGGGGGATGACCAGCAGAAGTCAGGCACAGCCTGGGACCTTGCCCCTTCCTCCCCCCCCCTCACCTTAATGCCTCCCTGTGAAGTTCTGAGTTCAATCCACAAACTCCTAGGTCAAAGCAGTGTGTGGGGAGAGAAGCTGGCCAGACACTCCCCAGCCTCCTCCTTCCCTGTCTGAGGTCTAGGATGGCAGACTAAAACCCTGGAAGTTGGCGTTTCTTTCTTTTTCTTTTCTTTTTTCTTTCTTTTTTTGTTGGGGGATGGGATATATAAGCCAGGCAGTGGTAGTGGTTACATGCTCTTAATCCCAGCACTTGGGACACAGAGGCAGGCATATTTCTGTGTTTGAGGCCAGCCTGGTCTACAGAATGAGTTCCAGGACAGCCAGGGCTATACAGAAAAACCCTGTCTCAACAACAACAACAAAGCCAAAAGCTAAAAGACTAAAAGGCTGGCAGCATGGCTCAGTGGTAGAGCCCCTGCCTAGAATCCCCCAGTGAGGGGCTGGGGGCGTGGCTCAGTGGTAAAGCCCCGCCTAGAATCCCCCAGTGAGGGGCTGGGGGCGTGGCTCAGTGGTAGAGCCTCTGCCTAGAATCCCCCAGTGAGGGGCTGGGGGCGTGGCTCTATAGTAGAACCCTTGCAAAAGGCCCTTTTCATTCTAGTAATATGTTTGGGACACAAAAAGAACTGCAGAGGTTTGTGTATTTGATTCTCTGTTCCAGTAGAGGGTCCTCAACCCAACAAGTGAGAGTAACTTGACAGATGGGATTCCAACAGACCCACCATTAACTACTTGTTTTTTTTTTTTGTTTTTTTGGGTTTTTTTTGTCTTTGTCTTTTTGAAATAGAATCCCACTGTGTAGCCCTGGCTGGTCCGGAAGTAGTCCCTAAGTAGACCAGGCTGGCCTGAACTCATCTGCCTCCCTTTGCTTCTCGGAGGCTAGGATTAAAGGTGTGCCAGCAGTCTTGGGTCTCTGCTCAGATGTGTAAGCACACTATGTAGATGCTGGGCTCCTGAGAGCATCCGGGGCTTGCCGGGAGATGCTGGGACCGGCTTTCTCTTGCTACAAGGGTTGAAATATCTGAACTTATCAAATTTCTTTGTGTGGCAGGGTATACTGGAGAGGCGACATAGAATGTAGAAACAGCAGGCACGGTGGTGCATGCAGTCATCTCAGTGCTGGGGAGGCTGAGACAAGAGGGTAAGGAGTTCAAGGCCAGTCTGAGTCCTATAGTGAGGCTCTGTGTCAAAAGGGGAAAGTTAAGAATAAAGAGGTAAGAGAGAAAAAAAGAGCGAGAAAGATGGGGAGGAAAGGGAGAAGAGAGAAAAAAAGGGATAAGAGAAGGGGGAGGGAGGGAGAGAGGGAGGACGGACAGAAGGAAGGAAGGAAGGTCCACTATGGATTTGTGTGTCAGTGGCCATTAGACAGAACTCAGATCACCACAGGGAAAAGGGAAACAGCGAGTGGGCGAGGGGCGGCCTTCTAAGCCCGTGTGATCTCCCTGTTTCTACAGAGCCCCTCCCCATCCCAAGTGACCACTTTGGAGGTACCTTCACATCTGTGACACATTCATCTTCCAGACCCCGCAGAGTGCCAGCAGACAGGAGGGGCCCCAGCTCCCCGTTCTCCAAGGCAACCACGTCTACCAGGCCCAGGATCTCCCTGGGAGGGGAGAAGAGACAGAGGTCTGTGAGAGGCGGGGCTGGGCCCTGGGCCCCTCCACGCGTCCCACAGCCGCAGTGTTGGCGACCCTGGGCCGCTCCCTTCCTTTCTCGGGCCAGCCTTCCTCATCTCTCAAAGGAAGTGTTTAGAATTATGTTTCCCTTGGCTCCAGCACTCTGAGTCAGATCCCCTGATGGATGGTGTCCGGGCAAGACGCAGCTGTCAAGTTGGGGCTCGCCGACCTGACGGGATCAGCTTCGCCAGGAGGAGGCTCCCTTCCCCCACCATCTCACCTGGCTGGGGATGAGGGTGGGGGTAGGGAGTCGGGGCTGATGGGGGTGGGGGTGGGGGGTGGGAGAGGGCTTCTCAACCCAGCTCCACACTCGCCCCTTTCACGAAAGCCAAGCAACACCATCGTCACCCGAGTCACACCTCCCTATCACGCACCCTCAGAAGACTTTTCCTCGTGGGATCTGCCTGCTCAGAAATGCCATCTTCCTCTGATTCTTAGCCCATGCCTTATCGCTTCCAAGAGCTTTCCGGACCCATATCCTGCTTCTACCTGTCATGGATAGTCTGAGACTTCGCTGACAAGAATTCTGATGGCTACCAGCTTTTTCCTTCCTATTCTTTTCATGACAGCGGTCTGTTGGTTTAATCTTTTAAAGGGACTGTGTAGCCCAGGCTAGCCTGGAATTCACTACGTAGCCCAGGCTCACTTTGAACTCATGATTCTCCTGCTTCTTCGAGATTACAAATGTGTGACTATGCCAGGTTCCAGGGACTTCATTTTGTCTCAGCCCTTCATTCTCTGATTTTTGAGTTGGATGTGGCTAACTTTTTTTTCTTCCCAAGGAGTGTATAAAGCATAACCACTGTGGGGTTATCTCCGTATCTTACTCTCCAATAACCCCCACAAGGATAGTCCATGTGGATATTCAGAGGCTTAATAGACAGCAGTGCGGGGCAGTCACGGTCAACGTTGAAGCCCCGTGGTACACAGGGAGTGCAGTAGTTCAGGGATCCTTAGCACTCATATGCTTGGCTGAGAGGCTGTAAATCTGCTGCTCCCTGCCCTTGCAGAGGACTTCTGTTCAATTCCCAGTACCCACACTGGGCAGCTCACAACTACCTGCCAGGCCAGATTCTCAGGCTCCGACCCCCTACTTCTGGCTGCCACTGGCGTACACATGCACACAAACACATGCACACACACACACACACAGAGAGAGAGAGAGAGAGAGAGAGAGAGAGAGAGAGAGAGAGAGAGAGAGAG